TAGCTTCGCTTCGCTTTGCTTAGCTTCGCTTCGCTTCACTAAGCTTTGCTTAGCAACGCTTAGCTTTGCTTCGCTTCTCTTAGCTTCGCTTCGCTTTGCTTAGCTTTGCTTCGCTTCGCGTAGCTTCGCTTCGCTTTGCTTCGCTTAGCTAAACTTCGCTTCGCTTCACTTTGCCCCGCTTCACTTTGCTTAGCTTCGATTCCCTTTGCTTAGCTTCGTGATCACTTTGCTTAGCTTCGCTTCTCTTTACTTCGCTTAGCTTAGCTTCGCTTCGCTTAGCTTCGCTCCGCTTAGCTTCGCTTAGCTGTGCATCGCTTCGCTTTGCTTTGCTTAGCTTCGCTCCCTTCACTTTGCCCTGCTTCGATTCGCTTAGCTTCGCTTAGCTTCGCTTAGCTTCGCTTTGGTTTGGTTTGCTTCGCTTAGCTTCGCTTTGCTTAGATTCGCTTCGCTAAGCTTCGCTTAGCTTTGCTTCGCTTCACTTCGCTTTGCTTTGCTTCACGTCGCATCGCTTCCCTGAGCTTCGCTTAGCTTTGCTTAGCATCGCTTCGCTTAGCTTCGCTTCGCTTCGCTTAGCCTCGCTTTGCTTCTCTAAACTTTGCTTCGCTTCTCTTCGCTTAGCTTCGCTTAGCTTTGTTTCGCTTCGCTTAGCTTAGCTTCGCTTAGCTTCACTTCGCTTCGCTTGGCTTCCCTTCCCTTCGCTTAGCTTCGCTTTACTTCGCTAAGCTTCGCTTCCTTTCGCTTAGCTTCGCTTTGCTTCGCTTCGCTATCCTTAGCTTCGCTTCGCTTTGCTTCGCTTCCCTTTGCTTAGGTTTCCTTCGCTGAGCTTCGCTTCGCTTCGCTTGGCTTTGCTTAGCTTCTCTTTGCCTCGCTTAGCTTTGCTTTGCTTCGCTTCGCTTAGCTTTGGTTTGCTTCGCTTAGCTTCGCTTTGCTTAGATTCGCTTCGCTTATCTTCGCTTAGCTTTGCTTCGCTTCGATTAGCTTCGCTTTGCTTAGCTTCGCTTAGCTTAGCTTTGCTTCGCTTCGCTTAGCTTCGCTTAGCTCCGGTTAGCTTCGCTTAGCTTTGCTTTGCTTCACTTAGCTTCGCTTCGCTTCGCTTTGGTTTGCTACGCTTATCTTCGCTTGGCTTTGCTTAGCTTTGCTTCGCCTCGCTTAGCTTTGCTTCGCTTCGCTTAGCTTTGCTTCGCTTTGCTTAGCTTCGTGTTCGCTTCGCTTAGATTCGCTTAGCTTTGCTTCCCTTCGATTAGCTTCATGTCCGCTTTGCTTAGCTTCGCTTCTCTTCACTTCGCTTAGCTTCGCTTCCCTTCGCTTAGCTTCGCTTCGCTTCGCATAGCTTTGCTGCGCTTAGCTTCGCTTCAGTTTGCTTAGCTTCGCCTTGCTTCACCTAGCTTCGCTTAGCTTTGCTTAGCATTGCTTTGCTTCTCTTCGCTTTGCATAGCTTTGCTTCGCTTCACTTTGCCCCGCTTGGCTTCGCTTAGCTTCGCTTCCCTTCGCTTAGCTTCGTGATAGCATTGCTTAACTTCGCTTCTCTTCGCTTCGCTTAGCTTTGCTTAGCTTCGCTTCACTTCGCTTCGCTTAGCTTTGCTTAGTTTCTTTTAGCTTCGCTTCGCTTTGCTTCGCTTTGCTTCGCCTTGTTTCTTTTTGCTTCGCTCCGCTTCGCTTAGCTTCGCTTCGCTTTGCTTAGCTTCCCTTCGCTTCAATATGCTTTGCTTCCCTTTGCTTAGCTTTGTGTTCGCTTCGCTTAGCTTCGCTTCGATTAGGTTTATGTTCGCTTCGCTTAGCTTTGCTTCTCTTCGCTTCGATTGGCTTCGCTTCGCTTCGCATAGCTTCGCTTCGCTTTGCGTAGCTTCGCTTCGCTTTGCTTAGCTTCGCTTAGCTTTGCTTCGCTTCGCTTCGCTTCGCTTTGCTTAGCTTCTCTTCGCTTTGCTTAACTTCGCTTCGCTTCACTTTGCCCCGCTTCGCTTTGCTTAGCTTCGATTCCCTTCTCTTAGCTTTGCTTCACTTTACTTCGCTTAGCTTCGCTTTGCTTAACTTCGCTTTGCTTAGCTTAGCTTCGCTTAGCTTCGCTTAGCTTCACTTAGCTTTGCTCCGCTTAGCTTTGCTTAGCTTTCCTTCGCTTCGCTTTGCTTTGCTTAGCTTCGCATCCCTTCACTTTGCCCCACTTCGATTCGCTTAGCTTCGCTTCCCTTCGCTTAGCTTCGTGATGGCTTCGCTTTAATTCGCTTTGCATAGCCTCGCTTTGCTTTGCTTAGCTTTGCATGGCTTCGCTTAGCTTCGCTTCGCTTAGCTTCGCTTCGCCTCGGTTAGCTTCGCTTTGCTTTGCTTAGCTTCGTTTAGCTTCGCTTAGCTTTGCTTCGCATCGCTTAAGTTTGCTTAGCCTCACTTCGCTTCGCTTAGCTTTGCTTCGCTTCGCTTCACTGAGCTTAGCTTCGCTTAGCTTCGCTTCGATTTGCTTAGCTTCGCTTCGCTTCGCTTAGCTTTGCTTCGCTTCGCTTAGCTTCGCTTTGCTTCGCTTCGTTTTGCTTTGCTTCGCTTAGCTTCCCTTAGCTTCGCTTCGCTTAGCTTCGCTTCGCATAGCTTCGCTTTGCTTCGCTTAGCTTCGCTTTGCTTCGCTTCGCCTAGCTTCGCTTCGCTTTGCTTCGCTTCGCTTTGCTTTGCTTACCTTCCCTTCACTTTGCTTCGCTTCGCTTAGCTTTGCTTCGCTTAGCTTCCCTTAGCTTTGCTTCGCTTTGCTTCGCTTTGCATCGCTAGGCTTCGCTTAGCTTCGCTTCGCTTCGCTTAGCTTTGCTTCGCTTCGCTTAGCTTTGCTTCGCTTCGCTTAGCTTTGCTTTGCTTCGCTTAGCTTCGTTTAGCTTCGCTTAGCTTCGCTTTGCTTCTCTTTGCTTTGCTTTGCTTCGCTTTGCTTTGCTTAGCTTCGCTTAGCTTCGCTTAGTCTTGCTTCGCTTCGCTTCGCTTCGTATCGCATCGCTTCTTTTAGCTTCGCTTCACTTAGCTTCGCTTCGCTTAGCTTCGCTTCTCTTCGCTTAGCCTCGCTTTGCTTCTCTAAACTTCGCTTTGCTTCGCTTCGCTTCTCTTCGCTTCTCTTCGCTTTGCTTCGCTTAGCTTCGCTTAGCTTTGCTTAGCTTTGCTTAGCTTTGCTTAGCTTTGCTTCGCTTCGCTTAGCTTCGCTTCGCTTTGCTTCGCTTCGCTTAGCTTCGCTTTGCTTAGCTTTGCTTAGCTTTGTTCCGCTTTGCTAAGCTTCGCTACGCTTAGCTTCGCTTTGCTTCGCTTGGCTTCGCTTCGCTTCCCTTAGCTTCGCTTCGCTTCTCTTAGCTTCGCTTAGCTTTGCTTTGCTTCGCTTAGCTTCGTTTAGCTTCGCTTAGCTTCGCTTTGCTTCTCTTTGCTTTGCTTTGCTCCGCTTTGCTTGGCTTAGCTTTGCTTAGCTTTGCTTAGCTTTGCTTAGCTTCGCTTCGCTTAGCTTCGCTTCTCTTCGCTTAGCCTCGCTTTGCTTCTCTAAACTTCGCTTCGCTTCGCTTCGCTTCTCTTCGCTTTGCTTCGCTTAGCCTCGCTTAGCTTCGCTTAACTTTGCTTCGCTTCGCTTAGCTTAGCTTCGCTTTGCTTCGCTTCGCTTAGCTTTGCTTTTCTTAACTTTGCTTAGCTTTGTTCCGCTTTGCTAAGCTTCGCTTCGCTTAGCTTCGCTTTGCTTCGCTTAGCTTCGCTTAGCTTTGCTTCACTTCCCTTAGCTTTGCTTCGCATCTCTTAGGTTCGCTTAGCTTTGCTTCGCTTTGCTTAGCTTCGCTTAGCTTCGCTTTGCTTCTCTTAGCTTCGCTTCGCTCTGGTTAGCTTCATGTTCGCTTTGCTTAGCTTCGTGTTCGCTTCTCTTTGCTTCGGTTCGCTTAGCTTCGCTTCGCTTTGCTTCGCTTAGATTCGCTTAGCTTCACTTAGCTTGGCTTAGCTTCGCTTTGCTTAGCTTTGCTTAGCTTCGCTTCGTTTCGCTTAGCTTCGCTTAGCTTCGCTTCGCTTCGCTTAGTTTTGCTTTGCTTCGCTTAGCTTCTTTTAGCTTCGCTTAGCTTTGCTTTGCATTGTTAGAATTAAGGACGGAGTCTAGGTGAACTTAGGAGCTAGAATTACTCAAAATATAAATCCGAAATTCTGGACAGAAAAGTCGTCTTCACAAGAAACGACGTCGACGAGAACCTAGCCGTTGGAATGTCGCGAAACTTGGATATGTTGTAGCTCTTAATCTCAGCTACCGTTCCCAATTTGAATCATGTTGATTGATGAAGTATTCGTGACGCTATGGCTTTCGACGCACTAGGGGGTAAGCTGTAGGAGGAGAACTTAACTCAATCTCAAGAGTTCAATCAAAGTTCAAGAATCTCACAAGGAATTTTTTTTTGAGGAGCAAGAGAAAAGGTTGGGATAGGAAGAGAGGGATGAGAGGGAAGGTCCCAAGAGAGTCCCCAACCAAGGAAACCCCATAAGCACAAAGATTCCCTCCCTATAGGAACCTCAACTTTGACCTTTGTCCCTTCCCAACCAATCCATCCAAGTTGGCCACCCTTGCCAACCTAGCTTGGTTGTTCCCAACCTATTTGCAGCTGTTACAGTAGAGTGACAAGTTTCCCCAACCCCAAAGGTCCCAACTCCATATAAAGTCACCCCACAACTTCACTTAGTAACCGCCGCAATTGTAACGCAAGCTCATGAACTTTGAATCTTCATAGCTTTCGCGTTCTTGCTCCGATTGAAGCGATTCTTGTTGCGTCGGAAAGATCTTCTCAAGATCTATCATCACAAATACCTTGTGAGATTCTTGAACTTTGATTGAACTCTTGAGATTGAGTTAAGTTCTCCTCCTACAGCTTACCCCCTAGTGCGTCGAAAGCCATAGCGTCACGAATACTTCATCAATCAACATGATTCAAATTGGGAACGGTAGCTGAGATTAAGAGCTACAACATATCCAAGTTTCGCGACATTCCAACAGCTAGGTTCTCGTCGACGTCGTTTCTTGTGAAGACGACTTTTCTGTCCAGAATTTCGGATTTATATTTTGAGTAATTCTAGCTCCTAAGTTCACCTAGACTCCGTCCTTAATTCTAACAAGTGGTATCAGAGCGATATTGAGGACATTAAGAGGAGTCTACAGAAGTTTGAAGACCCTTCTAGACCCACCATGGCCTGTGGGTGTGCCTAAGTGGTGTTCTAAAGGTTGGATGTGTCTTCCGCTAAGGGGAAACTCTGCCGAAATTTCGTGGACGCCGACACTTGTGAAAATATCGAGGGAGCTGAGTGTGGACAGCAAAGGGTAGCTGAAATTCGTCATTTCTCAAGGAGAAGATGAATGAGAGAGGAGGAGATGCTAATGGGAGAGGAGCTGTAGCTGAGAAGACAAGTGAGCCGCCGCCATCAAAAGTTGAAGCTTTGGATGGCTCCAACTATGAGGAATGGAGCGGGCGGATGAGGAGTGCCTTCAAACGCTACAAGCTACTGAAGATTGCTGTTGGGGAGGAGAAGATGCCGGAAGAAGGCGAAGCACGTGAGCGGTGGATTGAGAAAAGCGCGGTGCTTTTTGACCTCATCCTTCAATCGGTCAACAAGGAGATGTTCGAGCACATCAAGGATCTTGTGGAAGCGGATGATTCGGGTCCAAGGGCGTGGAAACTACTACGTGATGTGATTCAGCCCAACACTCTCCCAATGGTGATCGTGCTCGAGAAGGAACTTGCTGCCATCTCCATGCGACCAGGGGACAATGTGAAGCCGGTCCTTGACAAGATCAAGGACACCTATGCAAGGATGGCAGCAGCGGGCAGCAGTGTATCTCAGCTGCAGCAGTGCACCAAGATCATCTCGGTGTTGGACAACTCTTGGGACAACCTCATCCCCACCCTCAACTCTCAGCAAGATCAATGGACACCTGAGTGGCTAAGGCAGCAGATTCTGCAAGAGGACTTCCGTAGACGCCATGTGGGAGGCGGTGCTGCCACGAAGACTGCTGAGGGGTATGGAGCTGCAGGGCGCGGCAAAGGAAGAGGGGGTTGGAGAGGCCGAGGCCGTGGGAGGAGCTTTGGCAGAGGTAGAGGCCGAGGTGACTATAATGAGGGGCATGGGAGCTCCAGTGGCAGGGGGAGTACCAGAATGGAGGGCACCTGCTGGTACTGCAAGAAGGTCGGGCATCCTTGGTTCAAGTGCTTCAGCAGGCCGGAGGGATGGTCACCTCCAGGCATGAAGCCGCCAAGTGGTGAACGCGCACAAGGTGGCGCTGTGCAAGGCTCAGGTGCACAAGGTGAAGGTGCACAAGGTAACGCCTATCCTGGGATGTATCTCATGGTTGAGGATGTGCATGGGCATGAGGGTGATGTGGGATCTGTGGGAAAGGTTGTGATGCACCCTCTCACGCACTGGGTGATTGATTCGGGTTGCACCAGTCACATGACTCCACGGGCAGATTTGCTTGATGAGGTAAAACCCCCTGGGAAGATCAAGTATGTGGCAGCAGCGTCAGGTGCTTTGCTCCCCGTGATTGGTGTTGGGAATGCCAAGGTTAAGGGAGCTAATGGGGAGCTTGTGGGGCTTGGGAATGTTCTGCTGGTTAAAGGCTTGTCTGCTAACCTTCTCTCTGTGCGGCGACTGCAGAAGAGTAAGGCCGAAGTGACCTTTGGACCAACCAGCTGCCGTGCTAAGCTTGGGAAGAAGGTGCTGTGGAGTCTGGAAGAGGAGACCAGCTGCATCAAGGACCTGTGGCAGCTGCCCATCATCCCTTGGAATGGGAAGACTCCAACACCAGCAACGGCAGCAGCGGCAAAGGCAACAGCAGGAGGAGATGCAACTGCACCAACTGATGGGGTCCTGGAAGCAGTCAAGAAAGTGCAGCAGCAGCAGACACATGGTGAGGTGCTTGCTGGTGTGGATGCGAGTGCGGCATGGGCTAAGGCTTCATCAAGGAGTGGAGAGGCCGATTGGGAGACATGGCATGAGAGGTTGTGTCATGTGAACTTCCCTATGCTGCAGAAGTTGGTGAAGAATGGGAGCCTGAAGGGCTTGGAGGTGAAAGGGGAAGTGAAGGAGATTGGGAGCTGCCCTACATGCTTGGAGACCAAGTTCTCCAAGTTCCCCTTCAACAGTGCAACAGGACCAGCCAAGACCCCACTTGCACTTGTGCACATGGATGTGGTGGGGCCCACAAGAGCCCCTTCCCTCTCAGGCAGCCGCTATTTCTTGACAATTGTGGATGACCACACTCGGGCAGTGTGGGTTTACCCTGTGAACAGCAAGGGGGAGGTGGCAGCGGCTGTCCTTAAGGAGTGGATGCCTAGAGCTCAGAGGGAATGCGGACACAAGGTGAAGGTGATCCGCAGTGACAATGGTGGGGAGTTCATTGGAGCTGATTTTGAGGGGGAGTTGAAGAGGAAGGGGATCCAGCATCAACTGACAGTGCCCTATAATCCGTCCTTAATCGTAACATGCATCACTTAGCTTTGCTTCAATTCTCTTCGCTTCGTGTCGCATCGCTTCCCTTAGCTTCGCTTCGCTTAGCTTTGCTTTGCTTCGCTTAGCTTCGCTTAGCTTTGCTTAGCTTTGCTCCGCTTTGCTTAGGTTCGCTTCGCTTAGCTTCGCTTCGCTTCCCTAAGCTTCGCTTCGCTTCTCTTAGCTTTGCTTAGCTTTGCTTCGCTTTGCTTCGCTTCGCTTAGCTTCGCTTAGCTTTGCTTTGCTTCTCTTAGCTTCGCTTTGCTCTGGTTAGCTTCGTGTTCGCTTTGCTTAGCTTCATGGTCGCTTCGCTTAGCTTCGCTTTGCTTCGCTTAGCTTCACTTAGCTTCACTTAGCTTTGTTTCGCTTCGCTTAGCTTAGCTTCGCTTCTCTTAGCTTCGCTTCGCTTTGAGTAGCTTCGCTTCGCTTCGATTAGCTTTGCTTCGCTTTGCTTAGCTTCGCGTTCGCTTCGCTTAGCTTTGCTTCGCTTTGATTAGCTTCGTCTTCGCTTAGCTTAGCTTCGCTTCGCTTCGCTTCGCTTAGCTTCGCATCGCTTCACTTAGCATTGATTCGCTTTGCTTCGCTTAGCTTCGCTTAGCTTTGTTTCGCTTCGCTTCGCTTAGCTTCGTGATGGCTTCGCTTAGCTTCACTTTACTTCGCTTTGCATAGCTTCGCTTCACTTTGCTTAGCTTTGCTTTGCTTTGCTTAGCTTCGTTTAGCTTCGCTTAGCTTTGCTTTGCATCGCTTAAGTTCCCTTAGCTTCACTTCGCATCGCTTAGCTTTGTTTCGCTTCACTTCACTGAGCTTAGCTTCGCTTCGCTTCGCTTAGCTTCGCTTCGATTTGCTTAGCTTCGCTTAGCTTTGCTTCGCTTCGCTTAGCTTCGCTTTGCTTCGCTTCGTTTTGCTTAGCTTCGCTTCGCTTAGCTTCGCTTAGCTTCGCTTCGCTTAACTTCGCATAGCTTTGCTTCGCTTAGCTTCGCTTCGCTTTGATTTGCTTCGATTCGCTTCGCTCCGCTTAGCATTGCTTTGCTTAGCTTAGCTTTGCTTAGCTTCGCTTACCTTCGCTTCGCTTAGGTTCACATCGCTTCGCTTAGCTTTGCTTCGCTTCGCTTAGCTTCGCTTCGCTTTGCTTAGCTTCGCTTCGCTTCGCTTAGCTTTGCTTCGCTTAGCTTCCCTTAGCTTCGCTTCGCTTAGCTTCACTTCGCTTCGCTTAGCTTCGCTTCGCTTCGGTTAGCTTCGCTTTGCATCGCTAAGCTTCGCTTCGCTTGGCTTAGCTTCGCTTCGCTTAGCTTTGCTTCGCTTCACATTGCTTCGCTTAGCTTTGCTTTGCTTCGCTTAGCTTCGTTTAGCTTCGCTTAGCTTCGCTTTGCTTCTCTTTGCTTTGCTTTGCATCGCTTAGCTTTGCTTTGCTTCGCTTAGCTTTGCTTCGCTTAGCTTCGCTTAGCTTTGCTTTTCTTCTCTTTGCTTCGCTTTGCTTTGCTTTGCTTCCCGTAGCTTTGCTTCGCTTCGCTTTGCTTTGCTTTGCTTCGCTTAGCTTTGCTTTGCTTCGCTTCACTTAGCTACGCTTAGCTTCGCTTTGCTTTGCTTAGCTTCGTTTAGCTTTGCTTCGCTTCGCTTAGATTCGCTTTGCTTCTCTTAGCTTTGCTTCGTTTCACTTCGCTTCGCTTTGCTTCGCTTCGCTTCGCTTTGCTTTGCTTTGCTTCGCTTTGCTGCGCTTCGCTTAGGTTCGCTTCGCTTTGCTTTGCTTCGCTTCGCTTCGCTTAGCTTCGCTCAGCTTTGCTTCGCTTCACTTCGCTTTGCTTTGCTTCACGTCACATCGCTTCCCTTAGCTTCGCTTGGCTTTGCTTAGCATCGCTTCGCTTAGCTTCGCTTCGCTTCACTTAGCCTCGCTTTGCTTCTCTAAACTTCGCTTAGCTTCGTTTAGCTTGGCTTAGCTTTGTTTCGCTTGGCTTAACTTCGCTTCGCTTTGCTTAGCTTTGCTTAGCTTTGCTTCTCTTAGCTTCGCTTCGCTTCGCTTTGCTTAGCTTCGCTTTGCTTCCCTTAGCTTCTCTTCGCTTCTCTTGACTTCGCTTAGCTTCGCTTAGCTTCGCTTTGCTTCTCTTAGCTTCGCTTCGCTTCGCTTCGCTTACCTTCGTGCGCGTTTCGCAAAGCTTCGTGTTCTCTTCGCTTCGCTTAGCTTCGCTTAGCTTTGCTTCGCTTCGTTTTGCTTCGCTTAGCTTTGCTTAGCTTTGCTTCGCTTCGCTGAGCTTCGCTTCGCTTTTCTTAGATTCGCTTCGCTTCGATTAGCTTCGCTTCGCTTCGATGAGCTTTGCTTCGCTTCGCTTAGCTTCGCGTTTGCTTCGCTTAGCTTCGCTTCGCTTTGATTAGCTTCGTCTTCGCTTCACTTAGCTTCGCTTCTCTTCGCTTCGCTTAGCTTCGCTTCGCTTCTCTTAGCTTCGCTTCGATTCGCTTAGCCTCGCTTAGCTTCACTTAGCTTCGCTTCGCTTCCCTTAGCTTTGCTTCGCTTCGCTTAGCTTAGCTTCGCCTCGCTTCGATTAGCTTTGCTTCGCTTTGCTTAGCTTCGCGTTTGCTTCACTTAGCTTTGCTTCGCTTCGCTACGATTAGGTTCGTGTTCGCTTCGCATAGCTTCGCTTCGCTTCGCTTCACTTAGCTTCGCATCACTTCCCTTAGCTTCGCTTCGCTTCGCTTCGCTTTGCTTCTCTTCGCTTCTCTTCGCTTCGCTTCGCTTCACTTTGCCCCGCTTCGCTTTGCTTAGCATTTCTTCCCTTCGCTTAGCTTCGTGATCGCTTTGCTTAGCTTCGCTTAGCTTCGCATCGCTTCGCTTAGCTTCGCTCTGCTTAGCTTTGCATCGCTTGGCTTGGCTTCGCTTCGCTTTGCTTGGCTTCGCTTCGCTTCGCTAAGCTTAGCTTCGCTTCGCTTCTCTTAGCTTCACTTAGCTTTGCTTCGCTTTGCTTAGCTTCGCTCCGCTTCTCTTCGCTTCTCTTCACTTAGCTTCGCTTTGCTTTGCTTAGCTTCGCTTCCTTTCGCTTAGTTTGGCTTAGCTACCCTTCGCTTTGCTTAGCTTTGCTTCGCTTTGCTTAGCTTCGCTTCGCTTCGCTTAGCTTTGCTTAGCTTGGCTTCGCTTCGCTTCGCTTCGATTAGCTTCGTGTTCACTTCGCTTAGCTTCACTTCGCTTCTCTTAGCTTCACTTAGCTTCGCTTCGCTTCGCGTCGCTTCTCTTAGCTTCGCTTCACTTCGATTAGCTTCGCTTCGCTTAGCTTAGCTTTGCTTAGCCTTCTTAGCTTCGCTTCGCTTCGGTTATCTTCGCTTAGCTTCGCTTAGCTTCCCTTCGCATCGCTTAGCATCGCTTAGCTTGGCTTAGCTTGGCTTAGCTTCGCTTTGCTTCCCTTAGCTTCGCTTAGCTTTGATTAGCTTCGCTTAGCTTCTCTTAGCTTCGCTTAGCTTCGCTTCGCTTTGTTAGAATTAAGGACGGAGTCTAGGTGAACTTAGGAGCTAGAAATACTCAAAATATATATCCGAAATTCTGGACAGAAAAGTCGTCTTCACAAGAAACCACGTTGATAAAAAAACTAGAAGTTGGAATGTCGCGAAAATCGGATATGTTTTAGCTTGTAATCTTAGCTACTGTTCGCAATTTGAATTACGTCGTTTGATGGAGTATCCACTACGCTATGTGTTTCGACGCACTAGAGGGTAAGCTGTAGGTGGAGAAAAGTTCAATCAAAGTTCAAGAATCTCACAAGGAATTAGAGGAGCAAGAGAAAGGTTGGGATAGAAGAGAGGGATGAGAGGGAATGTCCTAAGAGAGTCCCCAACCAAGGAAACCCCATAAGCACAAAGATTCCCCCCGTATAGGAACCCCAACTTTGACATTTGTCCCTTCCCAACCAATCCATCCAAGTTGGCCACCCTTGCCAACCTAGCTTGGTAGTTCCCAACCAATTTGCAGCTGTTACAGTGGAGTGACAAATTTCCCCAACCCCAAAGGTCCCAACTCCATATAGAGTCACCCCACAACTTCACTTAGTAACCGCCGCAATTGTAACACAAGCTTATGAAGCAAAGGTCCCAACTCCTCCCTTAGATTTGCTTCACTTCGCTTAGCTTCGCTTCGCTTTGCTTAGCTTCAC